ACATCGATGGAAGCTTAAGCGAGGCGCACGAAACACACAAGTGTAAAACGAGTCATATAGCGTATCATTTTATATTCAAACGATAAATTTAGATTTCATGTTTTTTTGTTAAGCTTCAATAAATAAGCATATACATAAGCGTTAGCAAAGTTTATTTAATTTCCGTGGAACGCGTGCGGTGAGACATTCTTACATCGACACCAAGTTCCAGTACACTACCACAAATACTTCAAGAGATATACAACATGATAATTTTAGTCAGTATTGGAGGTGCCACGCCCCTTTTTCCAGTAGGGTCCATATTTCTCTATGCCTATAACCTTCCCGGGGTAAAAGCAAACAAGTGTGCAAAGTTTCATGCGATTCCGTGTCGCGGTTCAAAAGTTATAAGGTAATAAACAAACAGACATTCACATTAATATATATAGAATATTGTGATTTACTAAAATTTCTCAAATTCACAAAGTTTTGAATGTTTAGAAAATTTTGGAATTCCACTCAAGTTATTTAAAATGGGAAACTTCAAGATATTCAAAACTATCAAAACTCTAAAAATTTTTAATTTAGGGGATTTTTAAATTTATATACACGATATATAACTTAACTCAATTTCTATTAAGGGTATTAGATGATTTAAATATGTATCACAATACGGGTGTCAGACGAAAAAGGTTTAACAAGGTTTTGTCTTAAAAATAATTTGTAGAGGATTGCCATCTGTTTGAAAAGTCGAATTAAAAATTTATTGTATTAAATATTGAAATATGGGCGTCAAAAAACGAGTTTTAAGAAATCTCTGGTTTGAGCATTTAGAATATTAAAGAAGGTTGCCACCTGTGTAAAAGTAAAACGGAAATTATTTAATAGTAAGTCAAATGAATTATTAAAGTATGGGTATAAATTGGCATGGGTTAAAATTTTTTTTTCTGAAGTTTATTTAAGAGGGTTTCCATATGTTATAGAAATTAAATTCAACTTGAATTAAGGGAATTAGATACACGATTTAAATATGTATCGCAATATGTGTTTCAGTCAAAAAAGGTTTAACAAGGTTTTGGTTTTAAAATATTTTGAATAGGGTTGCCACCTGTTTTAAGATTCGAATTTAATTAAAGTACATATAAGTTAAATGAAATATTAAAATTTGACCTGAAACGAAGGTGGTAAGATATCCTTAGTTTGAATATTTAAAATATTAAGGAGGGTTGCCACCTGTTTAAAAAGGTAAACTGAAGTTATTTAATAAGTCAAATCAATTGTTAAAAATATGGGTATCAAATGAAATGGGTGCTTTATTTCTGAACTATATTTAGGAGCGCGTCACGTATTTAAAAAATCAAATTTAACTTAATTCACCAGGCACATGCAATATGTAAGTATCACAATAGCAGACGCAAGAGATTTGTTTATTTTTTAACTATATTTTGCCAGCTTTTACAGAAGCCTTATCTAACTTATGCACAAATCCGAAGTCGAAGATCATGCGCAGACGAGCACTAATACGAAGAAGAATACGGGGATCTAGGCTAATATAAAAAGTTATACAAATTTCTGCAGTATGAAAGGAAATAAAAATGAAGTAGTGATACACGTCAAGGCATATATCTATTTATAAGCTGATGGTATATATGATTGAAGTTAATGTGAATCTGCTTCTCTATTGCTAATTATTAATATTTTGCAATTCATATTGATTAATTAGATTAAATTCAATACAATCGAAACGAATATTTCATGTACCGTTTTTAACTTGAATGTGCTGTGGACTGATCCTTTCTTTCATGTCGATTTTCATTAAAATTTTCCCAGCTCTTTGAATGCACAGAAGTGTTTTATTTACATATTATGTTGTATATTTTATTAATTATATTGTTCGAGTATCGAATTTACCCATCCTTATTTCATTGTATTTGTGTATGCCCTATTTCATTGTATTGTCCATGATACACAACTGGAAGGTAGTTTCATTTATTGACATTCGTTGTTGTTGCCGACCACTTGACTTTAACAAGTTATGACTAGCAGCAAAATTTTCGTTTCTTGAAAAAGTAAAAAAAACAAATTTATCGAGAAACTTGGGTCCGGTTTAGTTATTTGCACAATGATTTTCAGTTGGTGTGTCCAACGCATAACCCGAATCTAAAAACTTTTACATACACGTCTAATCAAAGGATTAAACTTTAGATACTTTAAAATAAATCCTTCAAATTTGCGAGCAATAGTTTATTAATAAATTCGGGTTGCACTATGCACTTTTTTGTAAAATTCGATTTGGGCTTTGCCCAAAAATACTGTGGATGGCGTAGCCGGAATTATATGCACAAGAAATGTTGTCATGCGGAAGCCCCTCTTCTCCGGCAACACAGAAAGGAGAATTAAACTTAGAAAGGGTTGTAAGAAGCAAGCGCAACTAGGGACGTTCCGATACCATCAAAGTATCGATACCTATTCAAATGAGTTTACTCAAAAAGCTATTTCGATACTACTTATATGAGTCAAGCGAATGTATCGATACCTACTTATATCGATAATTTTTCATCCTTTTAAATTCAGCAAAGCGAAAGTAATTTTCAGGCGTTTTCTGTGACATAAAGCTTTGCGGCACCTGAGTGGGAGATCGACCTATCTCGGAAGAAAGTTCGAAAACGACCTATCTCAGAAAACTTTTCAAAAGCGCCCTATTTCAGAATTTGATTGGAAAACGCCCTATCTCAGAAAACTTTTCAGGAACACTCTATTTCAGAATTCGGTTCAAAAACGCCCTATCTCAAATATTTTCAATATATTTGCAGTTGAGGTATCGATATGTATATTTCTTCTTTAGTAGCACTTAAAGTAATACGATTACTTAGACAAAAAATTCAACCTTTGAAAGGATCCCACAAAACTTTACGGCTATAAAGATTGCTTACACTTTGTTGTGGTATCACTAACTTTGTAAAAATATATCCACACTTTAGAATTTGGCGGTGTAATTGCTTAAAACCTTTGTGCTTTATTAAAACGAAGCAACTATTTTCCATAGAAAAAATATTATCGACAGGATATGGCACTTTCTCAAATCGATTCGATACAAGTACTTTTATTTCGATACCAAGTAGGTATCGAAACAAAAGTATCGAGTACATACTCGTATTTACTTGTATCGGAACATCCCTAAGCGCAACAGGTAGTAGACCCAACAAAATGCATGTTTTCAATGGCTTGGAAGAAGCTGTTATTGCATTAACTGGATTGAGAACCAGTTCTTCAGGCATAGGAGGTTGTGGTTAGTATGCCCGACATCTCCGCATATCTTTGTGAATTTACTTCCATAGCACGCTCTTACTATGCTGCTATAATTGCAAATACAATGGAATCCATCGTTTCCTTCAAAATATATAAAAACAAACTATTTTACCATAAATAAGCTCTTGATGAATGTTATTTTAATTCCTTTCCACTTTGTTTTCCTTCATACAGCTCTCTTCGAAAAACAACTGATAGCTGGCTGCATAGGTTTCCGCAAGGGTTGCAGCATGTCGATTTTTCGTTTTTCGTAACGTAGCTACGAATTACGAAAATTCGGGTCCCAGAACAAGGGTGTTAATTGGGTATTCGGTAATTCCCACCATTGTTTTGTTTTTGTAAATTACCGAATATATCATTACCAACATAACGAGGTGGCAAGTCTGATAAATGTTTATAAGCAAAAGAACTTCACATCAGCTGATTCGAAAGTAATTTTGACCAGAAAAAGAATAAGGGGCGTTCGAAGTTGAAAGTGTTACCGAGATACCAGATAATGAATCAATAAATTAACGATGATAGTCTGAATACCCTTGATCTAATGTAGTTTGATGACAAATTGCTGACGCAAACTTTTTTTAAACCTCTAAAAGATGTGTCGTTATCCGTGGAAGAGGGAAGAGGTCGAGTTAAAATTATGCATTGCATTCTCGGAATTTTGTGATAAAGATGTGGCGCTGCTAAAAAATATATATTCATAAATATAAGCGGGTAACTATGTATTTGTGACAAGAATTATCTACATAATATAAAATCACTGCAGTTTCATTTTATGCAATTTTTTTTTTTATAGAAAAATACATAAGTAAGACAGTTTGATTATTTGTACAATGATTTTGGGTTATCGTGTCCGAACGCGTTACCCGAATCAAAAAATTTTGATATTTGCGTCTAGTCAAAGGATTAAGCTTTAATTTAAACAAATATTTCGGTTTGATATGCACTTTTTTGCAAATTCGGAGGTGGATTTTGCGCAAAAATACTGTGAATGGCGTAACCGCGGTTGGACTTATGAGGTTAAGGGGGCAGGGAGGCGAAGAAACTTTACTTAAAGTTTATACTGTGCTCTTTCTAATGAGTTTTAGGTGACAAACCCCTTGCCTCTACGTTGCACACCAAAAAACGTTGTACAAATAACCGAACATTTCCTCGCACAACATTAAATCCTCTGATGTATTGTTTGATTGCTATCAATGTGGCAAGGAAGTTCATAATTTTTTACAATTTATGAAGCTTAAAAAACTTATTTTTTGTCAAAAATTTTGAAATGAAACTACCTTTTTTTGTATCGTGATATTATCTAAGCCAGTTCATTGTACGATGTCATAGACCAAGTTCTACGACTTTTGTTCACAGTGTTTCCCCATTAAAAATATGGAAATTGAATTGAACATTTTATACCTAGGCACTTATTTTCTGTCCTTGTTCTTTTTTATTTGTTACCAGAAGAGTAATTATTAGAATTTATCCAGCGTTATATGCACGTATCTAAAAATAACAGTTATATTAGAAATCACGTACGTTCAATAATAGAAACATCATTAAGACGCAGATCGTTGAAATATATATTTTCACTGTTATAACAGGTAGGAGACTCCCGGCACAGTTGCGTTTCGAATCTAGCCATTATATGTAACTACTTAACACAATTTCCGTGTATATTTTTAATCGTTAAATATTTCTCCGTGTTTATTTCAAACTTGCATTATTTCCGCTTATTTCTCGACGTTCACATTCAAACACTCTTAAAGGAATACAAAAACAAGTGAAATGAATATCTCAATCTATGAAAAGTTTGAACTGCAGAACTTAATTTACTACACTAGTACCACCCGCCTTCACAAATTTAGCCAATCAAAAGTTTCTTATGGCGACGATTGAAGTTGATTGGTGGATTTGCAAGAGCGGCAATGTAAATATGTACATTTTTATATGCACACATACATACATACATATCGTCCGGTTTCTGCCTTAATATCGTATCTGCAATAAAGGTATTTTAGAGAGTGTGGGAAAAAATGCTTACTTTCTTCCCCTAGGATGCAATAAACGCATTTTTTACTTAATATTTCTGGTTCCACTAACAGTAGTGAGCACCCTCATTAGGTCTTTGTTCTATTTTCAAACAGTGTGACGCTTAAACAGATGTTATAAGTGGTAACATTAGTTTTCCAAAAAATTGTAGATACGTGGTTAAGGCAGAAACGGGACAATATGTACTTTTGTCGTCGTCGAATCGTTTGTTCGTGCGATTGCTTGCTTCAGTGTTGGCATTTTTGGTACAATTGTCCTTTTTTGATACAATTTCGTTTACAATATACTTTCCTACTACGCAGTACTTTTCAGTACAATTTTGTGATGAATACTATAAATATAGAGCTCTGAAAATTCACTGCGGGAAATTTTATGACGTAGAATACGTCTTACGTTTCGATATGGAGACTATGCTCAAATGTTATAGTTGTAATTTTTAGAGCTTCACGAAAACGCTTATTGCACGAGAACTAATGAAGCATTTTCAAAGAAAAGTGTGGCGTTTCAAAGATAAAATTCAAAGCCCATCGACAGATTAATTTTTGTAAGTGACCAATTCGGTTTCCGTCGTAGAAAAAACGGTAAATATTGGCTTATTTTGGGGTCAGTTTTGAGCCTTTAAAATGCCCTAGCAACTTATGATTTGCAGATATAACCTTCATTTTCAGGTATAGCTTCTTTGAAGAAATAGAAATATTACCGTGTAAAAATTTTATATAAATTCAACAAATTTTGAGCATCTTAAAGCGAAAAATTGTGGAAAAAATTAGCAATTTTTTTTTTATTATCAGAATGCTCGAAAACCGCTCGAATGATTTTGTTTTGTTAAAAAACAATTCAAGTTTTTGCGAAGATTTTTTTAATGAAGAAAGTGAGCAACACCTATGTATATCAAAAAAATATAGATATCTACTGATTTATCGCAGTTTTCGTATTTCTGTAAATTACCGTTATATGGCAGGTGAGCGTGGTTATTGCCCGATTTCAAAGATTTTCAACAGATTTCTTAGCTAGACCCCGGCAAAGGCGCGTACTGAGTTTGATAAGGATTGGTGAAGCGGCTACTGTGATACAGCATTTAATCATAAGCGGGCGGGGTCTCGCCCATTTTCCTAAAATTTCATAACAATGTTATTTTTTACCACAATTCTGCTCCACATACTAATTTTCAACAATTGCATCTAATATGTACTGAAATATCGCAGTTTTTGCATTTTTCGAAAATACCGTTATAGGGGAAGTGGGCGTGGTTACGGTCCGATTTCGCCCATTGTCAATACCAACCAACCTTGGATAAAGGGCAACCTCGAGTTATCGTGTACACGGACAGACGGACGGACGGACGGACGGACAGACAGTCACCGCTTAATCGATTTCTCTTTTCATCCTGATCATTTATGTATACATTTGTCCATATCTATCTCGATTCTGTTTGGCTTTTACAAGCAACCGTTATGCGAACAAAGTTAATATACCTTTGTGCACAAAATTAAAAAGTCGATACAATTTACAGTCGAAAAGTACAGCTTTGTATAGATTTCGTACTGAAGGAACAATTTAATTTCCCAACACTGGCTTGCTCTAAAACAGTGGTCGGCAAAACTGAAAATGGGATTGTGTAGGTCGCAGAGCAATTCGACCTACAGTGGTGTAAAAGAGAATCGCATGAGGCAAAGTAAAAAAAGTAATTTAAAAGTAATGATTTTGTTTTTTCGTTACAAAATGATTATTGTATGTATTTACCAGGGATGCCAACTCATTTTAAAATTTAAAAAATAAATTAATAAAATTAAAGTTAAGTCTGTGGAAAATTAACAATAAAATACTTTTTTTCGCAAAATCTATAAAAGACGTTTTTATACAAAAAACACTGGGTAACAATTATTCGTCTTCAGGATTATAAACTAGCTAAAATCCGGCTGGATCTCGATTATTGAAGATTGAATTTAAAAATCTAGTTCAGAAATTTATTTATTTTTTGTATTGTTATAAACCAATTTAATGTTAGATAATATAATAATAATAGATTGGCGCTTACACATATGTTAGCAGGATTATAAATGAGTTTTCTAATTTTGTACCAAATGGCCAAAAAAGTGTACTAAATATTAAATTATTATTTGTGTTTCTTCCCCTTAAGGTCGATTTGATTTGATTTGAGATTTGTAGCTGCCATGCCTCAAAATAAGAAATATCCCAATGACTAATTTTTTGTCACCAAAAATACACCAAAACCCGATTTTTTTAACCAAAGGTTGACTTTAAATCGACTTTTTTTTAATTGTGCAATTTTGTGAAAATTCTTACTATTGGCCCTTGATATAAAGATGTCCAGTCAAAGGTTCCTGAAGAGATCCAAACGTCACACGCTGTCAAACAATTTATATGCTTATATGAAAAAAGCGAATTCCCATTTTTTTTTTATCTAAAGCAGCGTGATTGATATGTAAGGTTAACGTCTAAAATTTCAAAATAATGTTTTTAATTAAGTTTACAATGTGTAAAATGCAAAGTATACCCAAGACTGCAGTCTCGTTATGAAATGAGACGGATATGACCACTGATTGATAAAGGCCGGAAAACTGGCGATTTTCGTTCGTCAAAACAGGCATGTTTGCACAAGCTCAGAATTCTTCCAGGTAATCTTCTAACAATTGGGGACCGATTTTCTATTATATCAGACATCTATACGCACACATATCGTATCTGAACTTTTTTTACCAACTTCGATTTTCGATTTTCCTTCCCCTAAATCACCCAAATGACGCACTGTGAGGTGTCTACATATATTTTTAACCGACTTCCAAAAAATTAGGAGGTTATCATTTCGTGGGAATATTTTTTTTTTATGTATGTTACCGCATAACTTTGGACCACGTCAACCGATTTCGGTAATTCTTGCATTCTTCTTTTTGCATCGGAAAGGTAGTATCTCAGAGGTGGTCCCATACTAATCTGGTTAAGATACGATCAGTGGATCATGAGATATATATATATACAAATTTTTTTTATGAGAATTGAAGTCGACTTTTTTTGCTAAAAATTACTTGTTTTGGCGGTTAAAGTTATTGGTTTTGAAAAAAAATGTATAGGAGGGCCCCCCTAAATTTCGTTCTGGCTACGCCCATAGATCTTGAATTTGCATATTTGTGTGCATTTTTAAATTCACAACAATAAAATGCAAACGGTTGCCATGGTAGCAAGCATAAAATTACCAAGACCAAGACCATTTACTCAATATCCCGAACAGCCACATAAAGTATTTTTTAAGGTAATTTTTAATCGTACATACATGTGTAAGCGAACACTGTCGCCTACGAAAATAACCAACGGAGCTCCGCTATGTTGCTTCGTTGCCGTCTCAGCCGGAGTATATACCAGGGGTGGGCAAGGCCGAGGCCGAAAAGAGCCTGTAAACTCTAATGCTACAAAGAGCCACAAAAAAAAAAAAAGACATTTTTTTTTTCTAAATAATTAGAAATGAAAAACATTAATTTTATTTTTATTCTAATACACTTACGTGATAGATATTTAAGAAAATTCAAAAGATCCCTGGCCGAATTTTCAAAATCTGGTGTTACGTCAATTAACGCCGTTCGTAACAGTTCTGTTAAATGTTGGTTAATCAATTGTGAACGGTATTTTGACTTTACGAATTTCATTGTGGAGTACAAAGACTCACAGTTATACGTTAAACCAAAAATTGAAAATATACTTCACGCAGCTGTTTTCAACAGCGGATATTTCAAATCTAGTACTTGTTGCCGGAACTCAAGCAATGGCAAAGCTTTATGTTGCATTCCCAGTGCTTTATCTTCTTTAAATTGCAAAAACTCGCAACACTTTTCTTAAAAAGGAGTATTTCGGATATTGTAAATTCATCCTCAATTATGTTACATAAAAAAGGTTTATGAAGTATGCAAACGTACATTTAAATAATTTCAAATCTGCAATTCTTTTTTCAAAATCTGCTTTTAAATCATATAGTTTTGCGACATAGGGGTCCAATTTATCCTCTTTGACATGTGCAATATTTTTTTCTAGTCATGGAAATTGATGAAATATTCTTTTTTAGAGATCATGTATAAAAAGATGTAGCTTAGCTTCAAAACTTAAAAAAAGTAAGTGCGCCTGGGCCACACTGTAGAAGTGAA